GTTTTTAAATTAAAATTCAGAAGCTTCAAAAATGCGACAAAGATATATTTGTGGGTGTGTTTTCTGTAGTAGATGATGATGAATCGAGACATATTTAAAAGAAAAGCTTAAATATTTCTTTGTGTATGTGTATATTTTTATTTTGATGAAAACCTCTTGAACTGCTTCACTGCAAAATATATTTCTGTATGTGTTCCATCTGTAGAGCTGTGGGAAGGCTGAAGATGAAGCCAGGGAAGAAAACAGCAGCGGAGCACACACAAACATGAGGCCACCTGGCTTCTTGCCAACATACATGACATTCAATTATTTTAGTACTTTTTCATGAGAGTTTCCCCTCCACCCAGCTTCCCCTCCCTTCTCCAGACCCTTGCTTTTCTACATTTGGCATAGTTCATCTGATTCAGCATGGATTTTTCCCAGCTTTACTTACTAATATGCCTGAAACTCACCCCACAAAAAGAAAGTGCTAAGATTAAAATTCTTGCAATCCTATCTTCACGTTCCTGCTATTACTTTATAAGTGTGACATTTCTTTCAATAAGTTGAGAAAGAAAGGAACTAGAGTGGTCTACACATTGCTTCAACTGCTGCTTTGATGTATGGTACTCAAAATATTTTTCATTTCCCAAAATATATTCTTAAGAGAGAGGGGAACATTAAAAGCAGCTTTTACCATGAGAATTTTTTTTTCAATGTAAAATAGTCAAACTGACAGGCTATTTCTTATCTGAAATTGACTTATCTGAACTTACCTTTGTGTGTGTGTATGTGTGGGGGAGTCAAATAGTCATTTTAGAGGACTTTTCAACCAGTTTAACAAATTCGATTACTTTAGTTCTAGACTCTAAAGGGAACTAAATAAAGAAAACTTTATTAAACACCTCAAATCTCTGTGTTTGGAGAGTTGGCACCTAACAACAACAGCGACAATCACAAACTGTTTGCGAGAATGTTAGATGTAACTTCAAATTAGAATATCAGAGTCACTTCATGAAATAGCCTTTCTGCTATGTTAGCATTCGATGGTGCCAGAGGAATGAAGAGTATAAAAATGTTTCAAAGAGGCTGAAACTTAAACCTGCGTTAGCTCTTGTTAACCCTCACCTTTTTGCTCTCTGGTCTCCGCTCATTCTTTCCTGAAGCTCTTCTCAGGTGCCGTGCTTCATCTCCATCAAGATGATGTGAGGAAGCATTCTTGGCTGCTCAGCGCCCAGAGATATGAAAGTGCTGGAATCCCAGGAAGTCCTAAATTTTGTTAGGTTGTAAAAGAAATTGATGGCTCTCTATCTCTGTCTCTCTCCTACCCCCACTCTCGCCACACTCCTACCACCTCTTACAAGTGTTGGTGCTCATCGGTAAAGTTCAGATCTGAAGGAAGAGAAGAAGAAATGGAGGCACAGCAGCTTTATTCCTAGATTTCTTCACAGACGTGAAAGATAGGGAGGAGAATCCTGGGTTTAGAACTCATGCTCCGGGTATGGAAAGAGAAGAACAATACTTTCAGAGTCGAAATAGAAAGGTGGAGCAAAGAAGGGAGTGGTAACCTGAGGGTGATGGGCTGAGCTCGGTGAGATCAAATCCCAGTTAGAACCTTGCTTAATAAGCTGGGTCTTACTTGCCAGCTGATGGATCCTCAGACACTGGCCCCTGGGTCCCTGGCCAAGGCAACTGTTTGGGATTGGGGAGATTTGGCATAAAGAGGATTAGGAGCAGGTTTTAAAAGCCTGTATAGGAAGAGCGAGCCATGCCAGTGTGGATAGTGTAGATAAGAGTGCTACAGTCAGGTTCCAAGAAGGTTATCCTCAAAGCATCAGGCAGAAAAAGCCCAGGTAGATCTTGGGAGAGATGAGACAGCCTCCAATCTGATTTCTTCTCTCTTCTGTGACTTCTAGAAATCATTTATTATTGTTTTAATTAGTATTATTTTAAATTTATTATTAATGTCCCAGTGGCTAGAGCTGTGTCATTACTGTAAACTCCATCTCAACCTCTCAAAATCCATTTAATGCAGCTCTTGGCAACCAGCGGCCCAGCTTCTTGCCAAAAACTGCAGATTAAGCATTCGTTATGGGAGTTTGCCATTAGCTGTTATAGGCACATGTGGTTACATGTCCCCAAACACACGGGATTCCATGTAATAGATTTGTGTTTCCAGGAGGTTCCAGGGATATTAAGCGGGATTGGTGACACCTTGCACCCATCCCTCCAACCACTATCATCAAAAGTGGGTTTAAGGTATAGGGTGGAAATGGTTTACTAGGCAGCTGTCCTCCTTGGCTCCCCTCTAGTTTCCTCTAGGAGCTGAACCTTTATTGATGTACGAGTATTTTAGAGCTTGCATCATATGTCTTTCATTTAAAAGATACTGAATGCTTTTCAGGGAATTTAGGGCTCTTAAGACGCATATTTATAAACAAGCTGTTAGAGCTCTAGGACATAAGTAAGTTTATAGCTAGGAGTTGTTTGTATATTTCCTCAAGTCTGCAAGGCGTTGTTCTCGCTGCTGTGAATTTTTAGGGGGAAAAAAAGCTATTAAAAGGCCATTTCTTTTATCCTCCCTGTGTTTATTAGAGAAAGTCAGACTTTCAGAATATCTGAAGGTAAGAGGATAGGAGAGAATCTAAACTCTACACTCAACTTTCCGTCAGGGGCGGCCCGGGAAGCCATAGAAAGTGCCCTGGACGCTCATGGCCGCTCCTCTGCCTTAAGCAAGGTCGAAATGCCCCTAGGGCACCATCTCGCCAGGGCTTTATTGGGAGACACTAGCCGAGGATTCCAGGCTTGTAGTTCCCGTGTCTTGAAGCAGTCTGTCTTTCTTCCGGGGTGCAGTCCCGGAAAACTTTTCTCTGACCGTGACTCCTTAAGATATAACAATTCGTTGTTGGTGCCTGCTGCATGGCTCGAGATACAGTAATAATAAGAGTAAAAACTATGTAATTCCAGTAATAGTATCAACTCGCCAGAACGCGACTGCGTGCTCAAGGCCACGCTGAGCCGGCGCCACGTGAACTGAGCTTGTGCCCTGTTCAAGAGAAGCGTTTGGGGAGAAGCCAGGGTGCTGCTGCTGGCTGCCTGCTCCGCTACCACCCGCCTGATCTGAGTATTTCCGGCCGGCCCCGTTTCTGGGGTTATGCAAAGGATCAGTTCTAAGGTTCACGGCGCTTCATGATTGTTCCTTCCCAGCTGCAGCCTGTCGTAGCCTCGAAGAGGGTCTACCAGTGAGTCTTGGGTCAGCTAAGACCCCGAAGAGGGTGGACATTCCCGAACCCATCTCGATGCCTGCCATAGTTGGACTTGGCCTCGCCACCCCCAGATTTGGGGTTGCCCGACGTGCCCAAGCCCGCGGCGAGATTCCCAGGCTGAGCTGGGGAAAAACGACAGACGCTGTGCGAGAAACCCTGGAGCAGAGGCCTCCCTTGGAAGGCCAAGCCTTAGTCCTCAACTTGCGGGAGCTTTTCATCAAATTTGTCAGTTTCAGAGGTCTGTTGCAAATGGCTGTCTTTTCTTGCCCAAGACCTTGGACGCATTTCCCTCAGACGCCACGGGCTCCTGGGAAGTCAGTTAATCCCAAAGCCACACAGGAGTCTTCCAACCCTGTAGTGCCGCCCTGCCTTCAGGGAGCAGCCAGCTCCCGGCCCGCCCTACCAACCCCTCAGGTGGGAACCGAGACCCGGCCCTGCACGCGTCCAGCTCCGCGCATGCCCCTCGCTCCCCGCACGCGCCTTTTCAAAGTTAACTCCACCGCGTCACTTTAAGTGTAAAAATAATGTTTTAAAAACCAGGCTGAAGGCCGTCCTCTTTCACAAATCCCTTTGTGTAACTAGCCCCGCTCTGGCCTATTCTAAGGGCCCTTTGGAGGCACTTTTCCTATCGGGTTTTCTTAAAATAATCTGGATCTAATGATAAAATCGTGGACTAAGAGGAGGCCTGGGTAGGAGGAATGAGAAAGTATTGGTATACGGGTTTCAGTGCCTCTTGCTCGGCTACCCTCTCCCAGCCATCGCCCCCAAGCCCACATGCCACGGCATTCGAGAAAGAAAGGAAAGGCCACGGGCTCAGAAGCGGGAGAGCGCCGGGACGCCGAGCTCCTCCGGGCTGGAAGCAGAAGCAGCCCCTCTCCCATAGCCGTCCCAGTTAATAGCTGCCAAAGTATCCCGCTTCTTGGGCTTCGGATTAATGTGGATCTTCCACATAAACGATTTACGGATGAAATAAAAGCCCTTTAGAACAATATTTCCTTTCAAGTCTTTAAGACGCCTCTAAATCTTTCGGGTAGTGACTGGCCGGCTTGGGGGCGGGGTGGGGACCGGGGGCAGGGCGCGCGGGCCGGAGGGCGCAGAGAGGGGGAGTGGAGGGTTAACTGTTTTGAC